AGAGAGAGAGAGAGAGAGAGAGAGAGAGAGAGAAAAACAGAGACTTTTGTGTTTTTGAGCGGATGTATGTTCGTGTGTGTTTGTGTGTGTGTATTAGATTTGTTAAAAATGGCCAAAACTCTGTCACTCTCTCTCTTTCTTTGTCTGTCTGTCTGACTGTTTGTCTGTCTGTCTGTTTGTCAGTCTGTCTTCTTCATTCGCAATTATTTCGCCTTCAATTCAAGATAAATGGATATTTTTTTTTCATCCAAAGCAAGACAAGTGAACAAGCTTTATGATGATACCAATAACTCTACTCTACAAGCCCAAAAACTGACGAGGGCCTGATTCTTACTTTACTTTACTTTACTTTTCCGATCCAGCGGTCATTTGGGTTCTAGTCCTTCGGTCTGAAAGAGGGCCTGATTCCAACACATCGTTACACAAATGTATATATTTTTATTTGTCTCCCCCCCCCCCTCCTTCGTAATCCCTGTTTGTGAATTACCCACTGCTTACTCTCTACCCCTCTCTTTTGTCTCCAAGTATTTTGATGTGACTGTTCTACTGTATGGTTCAGAGACATGGAGGCTCACGGCATCAGCAACAAGGAAACTGCAGAGCTTTGTAAATGGATGCCTACGAAGGATAGTAGGGATCAAGTGGTACGATCGAGTCAGTAATGCTCAACTGTGGGAAAGAACAAGCCAAAGGCCAGTAAAGGAAGAATACAGGTGAAGAAACGGAAATGGATTGGACACACCCTGAGGAGACCCTTGACAAGCATCATCAGGCAGGCTTTAACGTGAAACCCACAAGGAAAACGTAAGAAGGGAAGACCAAAGATGACATGGAGGCGAGCGGTACAAACGGAAATTGAAAAAGCGGGGACATCATGGGAACAGATAGAAAAGGATGCTCAGGACAGGCTTTGCTGAAGTAATGCTGTTGATGGCCTGTGCTCCACTGGGAGTTAAAAAGGGCAAGAGAGAGAGAGAGATTTTGGTGTGCCTATCTATCGGAATGCGTACATACAGGTATCTCATCTGAAGATTCCCAGTTCTGTTGAACCATTATATTTTGTCTTATCTTTTCCACAGATGGAGGTTGGAGCCAATGAGGTGGCGATATTTGGTGCGGCCTCAGAAACATTCAGCAGGTGAGAACTCACATGGTGTGCTGTTAAAATCTCAGTACACAGTTTATGGAGTGGAACTCTACAGAAAACTAATGCAACGTTAGTCTTTGTTACTGTTTATGTCAGATATAATACAATAAGGTGAAGTAACACTGGATGATGTGAGATGAATGGGGGGAGGGGGGGGGGGGGGGG